GGAATTCATAGAAAATCTCTAATTTGACAAATAAATTTATCAAATATTTGTTATTCGTATTTCCAGTTAGATTTGAAAAATACGCAATAAAATTTAGAAATAATTTGGCGGGATACTTGGAAAAATATGTAGAATGAAATCTCCTACTTTTTAGCCTCTGGTTTTAAAATCACTTTTTATGATTTTTTTTTAAATTCAGTGTATAAACAGGACAAATAAAAAATAGAAGATTTCATTCTCCAAACCTTATACTTTAAGCTGGTAGAAGATTCATTTTAATACATTTAGCGGGATTTAAATGCAATCGGAAATGGTGAACCCTTGCTTCTTATATGAAAAATACAGTGATACTGCGGCCTTAAACGTATATTTTAAATAAATTTAATAGTTTTTTATGATGCTAATAAACAAAGTCTGGTCCCTGTCACAGAGTTCGGGTCTCTGCCCAGTTCCCCCACTCCGTTAACCTTTCTTTAAAAATTGGCAACATTTGCGCAGGTTAAACACCGGTGTATGTTATATCTCTGGTCTCTTTTATCTAAGGACATTACTAATACTTTTTAAAATGTATTAAATAGTGAAAAGTAAGTTCCTTTTTTATACAAATCCATCAGTTAATAATAATTTATTGTAACTTTTCTCAATCCGGGGAGGCTAGCCGCGTGATTAGTTTGCATCCACATACTCGAAACAGTTAAGCAGTGATCTCTCCGGTCACGTCGTGGACGCTTGACCATTGGGCCATGTCACCATGAGACTTAACCGACTAGCATTTAGCCATCGACCACGTGGAATGAATGACGATAAATGAGGGAGTGAATTGGTGAATGGGAAAGTAGTAGGACATACAAATGGTTGCAGTGCCGCCAAGCTATAGACGGATTTGTGGTCCATGTACACCACAATGATGTGGCAGTAGTGTTTATGAGTTCATTTTGTTGGTTTTTACTTTATTGCAAAAACTAAAACGTACTAATAAATGTTAGGTGTTTCTGTTGGGACATACTATATACATTATTACACTAACCAATATAGAGGAACTGAAATATAAACGCGGACCTTCTATTCGACAATGAATTGGAAAAGGTATAATAGGACCAAGATTAAAACATACATACGACTTCAACCTCACTCCTAAAGTAATAGAAATACCCCCAAGTCCTTTGACAAAAGAATATCGCATTTTTAGTTCCAGTTTGCACATGTCGTCTTATTTCAGTTGCTTTTTTTTGTTGCTATAGCAGCGTAAACTTTATTAAGGTGCGTTTAAACGAATTCAAGAAGTCACTTTGAAAAAATTAAGAATATGGTCTATAAATTCTAAAACAATTTACTTTCGTACTTTATAAATAAATTATGATAATCCTCGCTTTTTGTTTGACTTTTAATTATGAGGGCGGCATTTTTTATAAATACTTATTTATTGTCGCCATGGCCAATTATGTATAGAATTCCATATCCTGGTTTTTTACTTGCAGTAGCCATCATTCCATCTTGCCAACTTTTTCTGTCACTTCCCTTGCTATATACCCACGTCTCATCCATAAATACAGGCTTAAAGTTACCCAGCTCTATCTCCTTGTTAAAATTTTTTGAATTTGTTAAACGTTCAAACACTAAATTCTTCATAACTTTGGTAAAAATTAAGATATTTGAAAAAACAAAAATGCGTTTTGAACTTAAGGGATGTTACTATTGATTCCCAGAAGGAGGCAAGAGAAATCCCAAAATTGGGCATATGGCGAAAGTGTACCGCGGGCCTAATTTCATTGTTTGCCTATAACGGCCAAACTATTTGAATTTTTTTAATGCCACTTACAGAGCTTACTCTAGAATGTGAAATCTTATGTGTGTGTAAATTTAACTGAAATCGGACTATAATTGGCCAAGATATCAAACATTTGAACAAATTTTTTTCCCTAAAAAAAACTAAATTTTTTTCGAAAGTTTGAAGTGTGACAAAAATGCCAAAAATGCACCCAATGACTCAAAACTCTTTTTTTGAGTACTTTATTGTGTCTAGAATACGATTACGTTACGGAAAATTCTGCAAACATATTTTATCTATTTTTTTGACCACTGTTCATTGAGTGACGACCAAAAAACACGGTTTTTGAGAAAAGTTGCCTAAAATTGACGATTTTCAGTGTTTTGGTCTGAAAATTGAGCAAACCTAAATTTTATGTCGTCTGAATGTGTATACAAAGATTAAATTGTGTATGTTTCTTCTAAGTTGTAGAATTCTCCCGACAAAAGTCCCATTACACGCGCTCCACGGGATCCAAAACTCGTGTATACACTGCATTTCTGTAATTTGATTTTTTTGCGATTTCCAATTTTAAATTTCTTATATACCTAAATTTATTAGGCTTACAATTTATTAAATTATATTTTACTGACTTGTTATAAGACGTTTCTTGAGTTTTGTGCAAAATATAGAATTACCGCAAAATTAGCCGCGGCGCGTCGCATCAAGAGTAGCCATGGTCTCGGCGTTCGCTATCCGACAAGTTTAAAGTTTTCTCTTAGATCCAACATTTTCCCTTTTTTTTTTTTTTCGAGAAAAAACAAGCACACTGTCGATTTTTTCCGTAATTTGGGCACTTTACAGATTGAAAATATATAAGAATTAGTAAGTTTAATGAGAAACAAGCTTACTTTCTCTCCCAATTGCCAGAAAACGCCCCTTTTCTCGAGAAAATTCGAGTAGCTTCAATTCTCGCAAAAATTACCGATCTTTGCACACGTGCGCTCAGAAAACAGTGGATGCTAGAAAAAATGTATATGCCACAGTTTTTCGTCTTTTTTTCTCTTTCACCTGATGGAAACAGTTTTCTATTTAGAAAATTAGTTTTCGAGTTATTTAAGAAAAAAGTACGATAAATCAAGAAAAAATTGTTTTGCAATTTTTTCAAAAAGTATTGCAGATTTCGCCACCCAACCCGTCTCATTCGGAACGTATCTAGAAAATACGTATTTTTGTCATGCATATATGTATATCTTCTCTCATTTCAAGTTTTCTTGTTAATAACTAAAAACCAGATGTTAGAGAACAAAAAACAAGCTTATCACCAAGTTGGAACTTACATTCAGGCTTAGGATTAGTTTCCTAACATTTTTAAAGTATACCTTTTTGTGTATTTTTTTGTGCTCTTTCCGATAGCGAAGTTAGTTTTTTCAAATATATTTTCTTGTTAGATGTTTTCGGAAAACCCGGAAAAAATCATATGGGAAAAAAATTAAAAAAAAACTACTCCTTCCGGTTTCCTGCGAATTCCCGAAAAATTATGGCAGATTTCGCCGCGGGACTTATTTTATTTGAATGCCAGGAAAAAAATACGCAACTTCTCTCATGGGCACATACGTCTAACATTTATAATTGCGCCACATATTCATCGCAAATTTCATATCCATGGTTCTGATCAAAGAAACGAAAAAACAACTTTTTGGTAAAAGCACTTCTGGCGGCGATAAATTCGCCATTAAAACAACCTGTTCAATGAATTTCCTAACTATTTTTGCCTCCTCTTTCGATTGGTGCATTTATTTTTACTATCGGAATGATACTTGCCCAGATAATTATCATTTTTACCATGGAAAATTCCGGAAAACCTGGTTTTTCCTAATTTAAAAAAAAATGAAGAAGAGCTATCTTTTTTTGCTTTTTTTCGGAAAGATCACATCAAAATAGATATGGTCCACTTTGTTTCATCCAATTACAAATTAATGTAAGCTCGAAGGGGCTTTTTTTCGTTATTTAATTGGATTATAATGATTTACTCTTTTTTTTTCCTCTAGGGCAGCGAAGTATTTCTTTCCTACGGTCATAAGTAAATTTTTTTTGACATTGACAGACAGCAAAGTATTTCTTTCGAACGGCCATAACTAACATTTTCTTGACATTGATAGACAGCGAAAAAAAATCACTTTAAAATTATATTACTACGCTATAATTTTCCTGATTCCTCGGATATTTTATCAATTTATCATACAAATATTTTTATTACTTTTATTCTGAAAACTTAAAGTTTATTTTTAATCCGATCTGGTGAAATATTTTAGGTATTTGACGGCAGGTAAGCGACATATATTCGCCTAATGCGTTGGTGGAAATATCGAACTATTTTTATCGGGCCTAGTTAAATTTTGCGACAAAGAAAGATTCATTTTCATCCTGCGAGGAAAAATTAATTTCGCCTTTCGTTGGAGCAATTTTGTTCATGACGCATGGAAATTTAACGATACCTATCTAAACGAACGTTATTTGTTAATATACCTTTATTGTCAATTTTCCATGCGAAACGACATCCCCTTAAAATGGAAAATTGTGTCCCAAATTAAAACGGTACTGTTAGAACTGATTGCGAAATGAATTTCTCCAGAAAGTAGATACGAATAATGTGTAATTACCATATTTTGTTGTTCGAAATTTACATGACGAAAGCGGTGATGAAATTGGAAAAGGAATCGAATTTAATGCAAAACGTAGGGCATATTTCAGTGGCGTAACATAAAGTTCCGAGGTGGCAAATGCTTTGATAGTAGATAGAGGTGGAGATTATTTAGTCGAGACATCGAAAACAATCGACAGTTTTTGGTGCTATCGAGTACTATCGATAGTTCTAGATTTTTGATTTTTAAAACGAAAAATTAACAACTACCGATTTCATGTTTGCGGTCCCTATTCCTAATACCCTAAAATCATCTAATAATTTCAAAAACAAAAAGAAATTTCAACACAATGTCAAACTTTTAAGCGCCATCTAGTGAAAGCTAGCATAGTTTACAAAATTACAGGTTCCTGTTTACCATGTTTAGAGATTTTACTAGAGAATACACTAGGGGGATAGGGTGTGGTAAGTGTCTAATAGGAGTAATAAGGAATTGCAGAACTGGTGAACTGCAAAATCAAAAGACAAGCAAACAAAAGCAAAAATTGGTAAAGTACAAGTAGGGTGTGCCCCAATTTTAGTTAAATTTTAATATAAATACTTTGTGAAATGGATAAATTTTTGATGTCACAGTCTAAAGAACGAGAAGGAAATAGTGGCTCTCATACAGGTAAATTATAAAAATAGTAGTGCAAGTTTTTTTACATGTTTCATATTTTTAGAGCCAAAGGTAGAAACTACTGCGAGTGCTAGTGGCAATGAATCAGATAATGATACAGCTTCTACTTCTACTACAGGTATACCTAGAAAAAGGAGAAAAATATCTATCGTGTGGAAATATTTTAAAAAATCAGCTGATAAAAGATTTGCCAAATGTTTGTCCTGTGGTAAGAAATATAAATGCAGTGATAATACCAGCAATTTAGCTGACTATTTAAAAATATTTCACTACACTGACTTCACTGACACTCTAAGTTCAGCACAAGAAAATCCCTGTTCTTGTAGTGACCCTAATTCAGCAATCTCAAGTTTTCGAGCTATAAGTCCTTTTTTTCAAAAGAAAAAAGAATTAGATCTCTGGGAATGATGATTGCAACTGACTTCCAACCCTTTAATATTGTTAACGATGTTGGATTTCAATCATTTGTCGGACTTCTTGACCCAAAATATGTGTTACCTAGCAAATCTACAATAAGAGACACTATATTAAAAAAAATTGTATTTAGAAGGTGTTACCAAATTAAAAGAAATAATAAAAAATATTAATTTCTTCGCAATAACGACAGACTGTTGGACCTCTATTTCAACGGAATCCTATATTTCTGTAACGTGCCACTTCATAGACCAAAACTACGATCTTAAAACTGCAATTTTAGCTGTTAAACAAATGACTTCAAATCATACCAGTCAAAATATGGCAGATGCTTTAGTTGAAGTGTTTCAAGACTAGAATATACATCAAAATAAAATTATTTGTATTGTCACAGATAATGCTGCAAATGTACTAAAAATGTGTGAGATTTTAAAAATTAGGAACCTTCCTTGTTTTGCTCACACCTTAAATTTGGTTGTCCAAGACAATTTGGCTCTAGAATGTCTAAAAGAGATAATGAAAAAGTGCAAAGACATTGTAAGATTCATTAAAAGCAGCAATGTTGCTGCAGACACTTTTAGAGAAGAACAAATAGTAGGAGGAAACCAGGTACCTTACAAATTAGTTCAAGAAGTTTCAACACGATGGAATAGCTCGTGATATATGATAAAAAGAATTATTAAAACATCAGATGCCTTGAACCGAACTCTTTTAAAAATTAAAAAAGCTCCATCGCCATTGACTGCAGAAGAAATCACAATTTTGATATTGACATGTGTTTAGATATTTTTGAAGATACGTAACTATATCGTTAATAATACCAATTGCTTTTGGAATATACACCAATCTTAATGAAATAAGAAATGAATGCATAGCAGATGAGGGCAAAACACTTTGTAGTGGGTTTATAGAGTCAGTGAAACAACGCCTTTTTCCGTACGAATCCAGAAATTTGGCAAGGATTTCCACCATTCTTGATCCAAGATACAAAAAGGAAGGTTTTAGATCTGAGGAAAATTCTAACCAAGCAGCTTACTATTTAGAGCAACAAAATTTAGATTTTTAACACTACTAAATTTATAAAAGTTACCAAATCAATAAATTTACCATACTTATATACAAGGTGGGGATTTTAAATCGAACGCTTCTTATAGCGGATCTGGTAGTAAGAATTTTGTAAAATCCGAGAACACGTACAAAAATAAACCTATCCATTGATAGTTTTTAACTTGTAAAACTAGGCAGTAAACTAACTTACTTATTATCATCCATAAATGTGTGCGGCATAGATAAATTATCTTCTGATTTCTTACTAGAGCTGTCAAAAATACTGATACTGGAATCAGAGCTGTAACAGAGTATTCAGAACTTTTAATGTAAAGGTAAGTATACATTTTGATTAATAATAAGGTAGTTTATGAAAATAATCAAAGAAAGAGGCATGTAATATGAATTTATAAAAAAGTTTGTCCTTGTAAAGCACCTACAAAATTTAAAGAACTTACAATATAAAATTTTCTTTGTAAGATAAACTACCAACTTTCAACTTAAAGGATAAACACTTAAATGAACATTTAAAAAAAACATAATTAAGAAAGTTTTTAGTTATCTAAATAAGCTTTCTCGAAACAATGAACTTAGTTTTGGCAGTGAGATATTTGCTTTTTGAAGAATATCATTAGGATCAAAATGCTCCGAGCATAACACTCTTTTTTAGATACCTTCATTTTCTTCAAGTCCTACAAGTGATAGCCAAATATTTCTTGTATGCCTTTCAGTTGGGAATCTAAAAATCAAGCATAGGCATATTTATTTTAGATTCCACTATAGTCCAGACTAAAGTGTTTCTATTAATTACAATTTTTTGCGAAATTAATCAAAGATCGAATAAAAGTAGATAATACATGTGATATTACGGCAAAAATCTTTAAATCTACACCACTGAACTATGCAATACATCATCACCTAACCTTACTTACTTATGAAAAGATGCTTCATCACCCACATTTTCCAGTTTTTTGCTCAAAATGCACTCGCGAACCATGTTGTTAGCTATACACAAGCCGAAATTTTTCCAAAAAAAGTCTAAAGATTAACAAAAACACCCAATATGCAACAATTTACTGGATCGCAACGTCGCAAACTATCGATGGATAAAATACTATACGTGACATCCGTGACGTATAGTATGAATGAAACAAAGTTATTTTAAATTGCGGTGGTGTCACGTTTAACGCTTTTAAAATCCTTGCATTTATTTGCAGGAATAATAATGATGTTTGCCTTAGATTATCTTAGTATTTGCAAAGTTGTTATTTAACAAGCGTATGTATGTAAAAACGATAGGTACAAAAATGCCCTGCCTAATGGTGTAAAAATAGGTGCTGCTAAAATATCAAGTCTGCTGAAAGCAGTTAAACTAGATAATCTACTTTGTTCACATTTTATACGTTTTTTGTTTTGTTACAAGTCATTTTATTTAGAGATTTACTATTAGAAATGTTTCGGGAAATATTGCAACATCTCGGCCCACAATGCGTCGGAGTTGGAAACACTGCACTAGGTACGAAAATGAATTGGTGGAGACGCTTGATGTGTCGCAATATATCTCGAAACTATTCTAATCAATAAAACTTGTTGCTATTAGTGAGTTATAGGTAAAAACTATTTTTAAATATGAAAGGGATAAACTTCACAGCCTGACAACAGCGCACAAGGAAACGCATGTCGGTTCATTTACAAAATAGCTACACCCTACGTTTTTTTTGCAATGTATGACCGAGTTTTAAATGTAAATAGAGGAGCTTTGGTTATTAATCTGTAACTTACTTCCATAATTTGAATATTTTGAATTGGGGGTGGTTGGTCTACGAGAATATGGCAAACAATAAATATGTACGCGCTAATTTTTCCAGTGATATTTTGACCCTGCGCTTTTTTAAACTCTCGCTATTTTATCATCGCTCTATTACGTCCTGCCGCCTTTTTTCCCGGCGCTATTTTATATGATCGCTTTTTGTGAGTGCGCTATTTATTCTTGCGCTGTTTTATCCTGGCGTTATTTCTTTTGCGCTAATTGGTCCCACGCTATATTATCTTGCGCTATTTCGTGGCAGTGCCTTTTAATACACGTATTTCCTTTATGAAAAACATAATAAAAATTGCTTATTTAAAATTATGAAATACATAATAGAAATTCATTCATTAAAATTATGAAATGCATAATAGAAATTCATAATTGTAGGTAACCCTTAATATACAGTGAGCATCATAAGTCTTACCCCCCCCCTAACTAACTCGTTACTGGAGTCTTGTTAGGAAAATCGCCGAGATAGGTCGATTTTTGTTTTCTACAATGTACATTTTTTTATGATTAGTTTTCCCTTAATTTCATCCCTTACTGGAGGGGAACAACCCTTTCGAAAAATTTAAATGGCATGGGGTAGTGAGTGATAGCTCATTTGAAAGGGGGTTTTATTCTCTATTCAACCGTGCAAAAAATTTTTAAATTTGCTTCATTGCGGCTGATTTATTAATGTTTAAAAATAACAAAACCTCACAAAATAGGAAAGCAACTAAACTAATAGTGACCTTCTAATGGCAAAAAGTCTTACTTCACGTCTGAACCAAAACCGAAATCATGCAAAATTTTAATTCTAAGGATGAGTGCGCTACGTTAATTTCCGTTATTCTGAAACAACAATTAGTCGAGAATTAATAAAGCAAATTTCAAAATTTTTTACATGGTTGAATAGAGAATACAACCCTCTTTCAAATGAGCTATCACTCACCACCCCATGCCATTTAAATTTTTCGAAAGGGTTGCTCCCCTCCAGTAAGGGATGAAATTAAGGGTAAACTATTCATACAAAAATGTACACTGTAGAAATCAAAAATCGACGTGTCTCGGCGATTTTCCTAACAAGACTCCAGTAACGAGTTAGATAGAAGGGGTAAGACTTATGGTGCTCACGGTATAATAGAAATTGAATTTCTATTATGTATTTCATAATTTTAATTCTTGAATTTCAATTATGTATTTCATAATTTTAATTCATGAATTTTCATTATGTTTTTCATAATAATAATAAACGTATTCCCATTATGAAAAACATAATAGAAATTTAAGAATTAAAATTATGAAATACATAATTAAAATTCAAGAATTAAAATTATGAAATACATAATCGAAATTCAATTTCCATCATATATAAAGGTGGGTCCACATTGCTCGCGAACAGTGCGTACGAACACAACAAGAACAACAAACGAACAAACAGCAGGAATGAAACAAAAATCATATTCGTCGTGTTTGGGCTGTTTGCAGCGTTCCTTGTGCTTGCAATCACCCAAAACACCTGTTTTGACTGTTCGGTCGGGTAGCGGTACATCAAAGGGATGTATATTGCGCACGCGAGCACAGTTAACGGTGATTTGATGATTTTTTAACCGACTTCAAAAAAGGAGGAGGTTATCAATTCGTCGCGATATTTTTTTTTATGTATGTTCAGCGATAATTCTTTCAATAATTTCAATAATTTTTGTTAGAAAGGGGCTACTTCAGGGGTGGTCCCATATAAATTTGGTCAAAATTTAATAATGGGGTCCATGAGAAAATCCTCAAACTCTTCATTTTTTATGTATGTTTAGCGATAATGCTTTACCACCTTGTCCGATTTATATGATTCTTTTTTTGTTAGTAAGGGGGTACCTCAGGGGTGGTCCCATATAAATTTGGTTAAGATGTGGTGATGGCATCTGCACGTTTTTGAAGTCGGTTTTTTTTAATTTTTAATTTCTAATACTTGTTAAACTTAGTTTGTTTTTACTGTTCGCTTTCAAGTTCAGTCAAGTACGAGCGTACTAGCAGGGTGCAGTGCAATATGAAGTGGACTAAAGAAAACATTTTGAAGCTAGTTAGGCTTTACAAATTTATCCTGTTTGTGGGATCCACAACATAAATTTTATAAGCTAAATAATAAAAAAAAAATGGTGGTATTCTTTCTTTGGATATGTGGGCCAACTAAATTAATTAGGTACTGTTTCAAAATCGGTACTACTCATGCGACAAAAATTATTAAAAAACATCCCATCTGTTTCCAAATCATGGAGAAGATTACTTCCACTGTATTTGGATCTACTTTTTAAAATATTTGACATCCAACACCGTCTTTTTGTCACTTTTTTCCTGTTCTCTCCGTTTTACAATAATAATTAACGCACTGGCAGCCGCCGTTAATAATAATTGATCATCCATGTCGGAACCGGAAGAGCGCAAACACAGAACTACAATGTGGACACTTTTGCTTGCGGCTAAAACGATCTTGACAAACAGAAGAAATACAAAAAGCAACGTT